CTGAAAATTATCAAAATTCTGGTATCCAGAAATCATTTCAAGAATTTAAGCTATTGATAACCAATCTTAAGGCTTTCCTCTATAGTGAATCATATATTTTTTTTTAAGTATTGCTCTGTTTTTTCTTTAAGATGTATTTATTTTGTTGGTATGATACATGTTTTATATATGATAATTTAGATGTTGCTCCTACCAAAAAATGGTTGATTTTGTTGTTTTCCTGTCATGAAGGAAATGGTTATATAGATATGATATTATGCTGAGTAGTGAGGTGTTAAATGATGACTCAGCATATGTTGTATTACCTGTGTGTGAAGTTCTCTTTTTTTCCAGTGAATATGGCCAAAATTAACCTATTATTTTATATCTGAGGTTGACCTGATTTACATGATTAATTTTTAAACACAAACTAAATTGGGTTCCCAAACATTACTTTGGAATATTATAAGAGGAAGTTAATGCAATTAGAATAGTTACATCATGAACTGCCATATCTTTCATGCAGTTATCCCTTTTTTTGTATATATTGACTAAGTGGAAAGTAAAAAATAGTTTTGTTATATTACAGTCCTCACATTAAACTTAAATACAAAGCAACTCCTACTTTGCTACTTGACACATACATGATCATATGTATTATAGATTTGTAAAAATGTTATTGCAAAATAATATGATATATATCAATTTCTGTTCAGTAAGAGATTTATACTTCATAGTTACATTGAATTTTATTCATAATAGACTTAAGCATATATTGGGAACCCAATTCTATTGAGTAATGTTAAAGTATAATCTTTCTTCCAGTGGTTGTACTTTGTGTGTGATAAAGATTTTATGTTATAAGGTGAATTTGCTTGAAATTGTTAGCCTACTTGAGCCTAACCCAGAAGTGTTTTTCAATTTTTTTTTTTTTTTTTTTTTTTTTTAAGGTCTGTTGCTGAGTTTTGTAATCTATTTTATGTATTACCCATAGAAGTTATTTCTTAGCTTTAATGTTATCCTATGATAAGATTTATAATTTGTTGTCTTAACCCCAATGATCTGGATAACAGGACCATCACGTCATGAAAAAAAAGTGGCTTGAGTGTTGAGTGATATGAATATGCCGTTGTGGGAAAATCTGGCTGTGGGCTGGGTGAAGCAAACTTGCTGTCATGAACTTTTTGGCTGAAGGCCAGAATGACAGGAAAAACTCACCAGGAATGCTCAAACCTCTAGGATGGTGATTAGACTCATTCTGCATTTAGAAGGGGGCTTTTGCATTATTCCCATCAATAAACGAGATTGGAATGTAATGTCTGTGAACCATGACTGGAAGAATGCTGGGAGGAAGGATGCAATATCCTTGCTCAGCATCTTATTCTTGGTTGCAGTGACTTGTATTATAAAAAATTGAATAGTAAATGACACAACAAAATGTTACTTATTTTTCTTTTCTTGCAATTAGTTATAGACTACCTAGAGAGATGATATGTAGTCTATGCAAGGAAAACAGTCAAGTACTATCTGGATTAAGCAAAGCAAATGACATAAGCTAAAAATGCTTATGTACAAAAAGAGAAAATAACATTGTAAAGGGGAGGCAGATTTTTGTCATAGCACAGGAGTGTTTGCATGCACCCGGCCTACAAGCCACACACCCATCAGAGCAGCCACTCACACAAGCCTAATGGCCATATTTGGTCCTTGCAATTGCTGTAAGGCAACCAGATCCAAGGGGTTAATTTTTTACTTAGGAATGAATACAAGTAATTGGTCTAAGTGTATTCTGAATAGTAAATATATTGTGTCATTGTATATACTGTTTAATGGTGATAATTTAGTTTTTTCCATATTTGTATGGGAAGGCTTTAATCCATCAATGACAGTATTAGAAATCTCTCGGTGTCATTGACTCTGGAGGCTTCTAGCAACCGCCCTGCAGGTTTGGCCTGGGCATTCACTACATGTAGTGGAACTTTCCGCTCAGCGAGCTTTAGTGCTTTGCGATGCCTATAGCTACACCTGGTGTGATGAGTCAGTTTGTTATGATAGCTATAGGTGTGGCCTGGCAGATACGGGTTAAAATATACTTCATTAATGTTGTTGATTATATATCCAAAATTGCATGTTTTTATTTATTTATTTATTTTATTTATTATTATTTTTTTAAATTATAATTCTTCATCAAAGAACAGTTGCCTCATTGATTTTTTGAATTGAGTGAAACTCATAGCTATTCTTTTCTTTGATAATTAATGGGAAAAAATGTTTACACATTTTATTGAAATATTATTCCATGATCTTAATGAAAGGCCTACCCTTGTGTTTATTACAGTGCTTGCACTAGCATTTTATAATACTACTACTACCAAGTTCACATATATTTCTTGTTTTTTATGTTTTGTTGTTAATTTGTTACTATTTTATTTTATTGTTTTATGTTAGGTCATTGTTTTTATTATTATTATTGTTATTATGATGATGATGAGGATGAGGATGAAAGTATTGACACATAATTGTTTTATTATTGAAATATTAATAACACTAGATAACCCCTCAATGATGGTATCAGAAATCTCTTGGTGTCACAGACTCCATAGGCTTCTGCCAGCCATCCTGCTGTTTGGCTTAGGAATCTGCTACGTGTACCAGAGTTTTCCACTCGGTGCACTTTGGCGCAGCGCCTATGCCTATAGCCATACCTGGCATGATGAGTTGGCTTGTTATGATGGCTATGTGCATCGTCTGGCAGATACGGAACATATCTTAATATTTTAATTGTGATTTTTCCAAGATCACAATTTAACCCAATGGCACCGGGTGTACAAAACAAAGAAAAAACTCTACGCTTAAGCAAACAAAGGCGGCGCGCCGACTTTGAGCACGTGAGTAGGGGACATCAGCCCGAATCACTGGCCCGCCGCGCTTTGGCGCGCCGCCGGCTCGTTTGGCTGCACGCCAGCTTTCGAACGCTGGTGACTTTTTCAATCGGCGTCACCCGGCACCAAGGGGTTAAAAATGTCACAGTGGACTTGGCATATATTTCATGCCATTCCAGTGCAAAAGGTTAACAAGAACAAGCTTGTTGAATTATTAATGATAATATGATTCTTAACCCAATGGCGCCGGGTGTACAAAACAAAAAAAAAAACTCTACGCTTAAACAAACAAAGGCGGCGCGCCGACTTTGAGCGCGTGAGTAGGGGACATCAGCCCGAATCACTGGCTCGCCACGCTTTGGCGCGCCGCCGGCTCGTTCGGCTGTAGCCAGCTTTCGAGCGCTTTGTTTACACGCCGATCGGCGTCACCCGGCACCAAGGGTTTAAATAGAATTTGCTGTATATATATGAGATTATTATTATTTAGAATATAGGACTTGTAAAATCGCAAATCACTCTGAGTGAAGGCATTTGAAATGGAATGTGTAGATTGATATACCATTTTCATCTATGATAGAAAGGACCATAAAGAGTATTACAGAATCTATATTTATATATATTATCTTCCTATGATTATAATCTTGTTATATATCCTAAGAACCTTTCTTTCTTTTTCTTCTTTTTTCTTCTTCTCATCCTATTTCTGCTCGTAACTCTTCTCTCCATATGATTGTAATTTCTTCCACTGTAATTTGCTTTAACCTTTTATAAAGATGAATTGGATATCTCAAAGGTATTTGTTGCTAATCGCCACACATCAGTGTTGTTTTCAACAGCTGAACCATTGGAGGGGAAATTTTCAGATTGCATTGCAACAAGTTGGAAGTAGCTGCATACTGGAAATTATTATGTAAACAATTGAAAACACCTTTTTACTGGTTTCATATTTTAATGTGTATTATCTTTAATGGCTAGCCATGAAATTGATGACGGCATTGGTGGATGTTGCTCTGACGGTGTCTGTCAACCTTGATAACACTCAGCGCCAGTATGAGTCAGAGAGACAGAAGGTATATACTCCATATAAAATTTGTAACACATTTTGAAATATTCAGAAGCAAATTTGATAATATGGTCATATGAGTTTTTCTATTGAGAATTGTGAGGTAATATTTTCATTGCTTTCATTGCTTTTTTCTTCAGTCTCGTGAGAAACGTGCATCTGACCGCCTTGAATCATTGATGTCAAAAAGACAAGAACTGGAAGAAAACATGGATGAAATCAAGAACATGCTCACATATATGTTCAAGTCTGTCTTTGTTCATAGATACAGGTAAGCATATTACATTCATATATTTAAGAGAAAGGGTATTAGGGGCTTAATGAACTTGCAATTATGTTAGTATTATATTATTATATAGTTTAAAGTAGTTCAAGATATTGTGGTTTTGCTGAACATCTTTTAAGATATAGTTACTGATTTTTAGCTATGTAACAATAGTTGCCTTTTGAGTTTATGAAGTAAGTTTTATTTACATTAGAATCACATTTTCAAAGCATATGTTGCTATCCTATCTGGAAATTGGACTAGAATAATGTCTCTCCCCCTATTCTTAGATCACAAAAAGGCCAAATTCAAATAGATTTTTGAAAATTAAGAATGACAACCAGATTTTGGATCTCAGTTGGATGAGTATTGGCAGTAATTAATCACCCTCTCAGATAATGAAAGATTTCTTTATGAGTTTGAAATTATGTGAACAGATGTGCTGAAGTGCAGTGATACTAGTATTGAGGATGATATAGTTGTTTATTGCAAAAAACTTTGTACATAGTTTACACTTTATCATAGCTTGTTTCAGTTATTGCAGATGTTCAGGTTTAAAAGTTTTATTCATCATGTTTTTCTTAGTTATATTTTATTTAACAAGCTGTTATAATTGAAGCTAATTTGCATTACTGATTAACAGATATTAATATTATTTGAAACCTTAGATGCTATCACACTTTCTTCTTCTTTTTTTTTTCCTTGAATTAAATATTATAAAAAATAAAGCAGTTAAACTGCTTTTTGTTAGTGGTTTCAATTAGAGAGAATTCCAAAACATTTACCATAAAGTTACAAATTTCAGTTTACATGAAAATTACTTTCACAGGGACACACTACCTGAAATCCGCTCCATCTGTATGGCAGAAATTGGCTTGTGGATGAAGAAATTCCACCAAAACTTTTTGGATGACTCGTACCTGAAATACATTGGTTGGACACTTCATGATAAAGTAGGTGATGTGCGACTCAAATGCTTACAAGCCCTCCAGCCCTTGTATGCCAGTGAAGAACTCAAAGGGAAGCTGGAACTCTTCACCAGCAAGTTCAAAGATCGTATTGTGGCCATGACTCTGGACAAGGAATATGATGTTGCTGTTCAGGCAGTGAAACTGGTGATCTCTATTCTCAAATATCACAGGGATATTTTGACAGACAAAGACTGTGAACATGTGTATGAACTTGTGTACTCTTCCCATCGTGCCGTTGCACAAGCAGCAGGAGAGTTCTTGAATGAGCGTCTTTTCATTCCTGATGACGAGGCTGTTGCTGCTCTGAGAACAAAGCGTGGCAAGAAGCGTAGACCTAACACTCCCCTCATCAGAGATTTGGTTCAGTTCTTCATTGAGTCTGAGGTAAAAATCTTTGAGCTTAGGTTCACAGTTTTATTTTATAACTTTTTGCTTGTCTTAGCATTCACAATATGCCTAGCATTCAGTCCTATGAGTGTATTACATGTATAGTTATCAGTACATGAAGAACAGTAATTTAAAAAGAATAACAAATGTTTTCCCTAATCTGCCAGTTACATGAGCATGGAGCATATTTGGTGGATTCTCTTATTGAAAGCAATGACATGATGAAGGACTGGGAGTGCATGACAGATCTCCTCCTGGAAGAACCTGGGCCAATGGAAGAACCCTTAGATGATCGTCAAGAGACCAGTCTTATAGAAATCATGGTTTGCTGCATCAAGCAAGGAGCCACAGGAGAACCTCCTGTTGGTAGAGGCCCAACAAGGAAGGTATGTTTTAGGAATATATATATTGACACTAGCTCACCTTTACATTGTTTTATATATAGTTCTACCAGTTGTTGAAACATGGTCATTGTATGAAATTTATTTACATATTTTATTTAATTACTTACATCACAGGAAGAACCTTATGATTGTTCCTAACAACACTTATTGTTCTAATAGCAAATACTGTCAGCCAAAGAGGTTAAGCAAGTGAATGATGACAGAGCAAAGTTAACAGAACACTTAATCCCAACATTGCCACAACTTCTGCACAAGTATTTGGCTGACCCAGAGAAGGTAGCCAACCTCCTCCTCATCCCTCAGTACTTTGACTTGGAAATATACACTACAAGCAGACAAGAGAAGGTAAGGTCATGTGCATAATTTGAAGAAAAAGTATTGTTCTTTTATAGATTCAGGAATACAGAAGATGTTATCATTGTTTTGAAGAAAAAATATTGTTCTTTTCTAAATTCAGGAATGTTTTGTTTTTAGAATTTGTGTCTATGCATTTAGAATAAATTTCTAACAATTTCTACAGAATTTGGACTTGCTCCTGAAGCTTATTCAAGAAGTGGCTGATAAGCACAGTGACACTGAGGTATTGGAAACAGCAGCAAAGACCTTAGAGATCCTGTGTAATGATGACTACACTATATACTCCCGGTGTGACATTGCAAGGTCCTCTCTATTAGACATGGTGGTCAACAAGTACAAAGAAGCTAATGATGAATACCTCACCCTTATTGATGGTGTAAGTGAATATTGGTGAACCTTTATACACATTCCTTTTTTTCCATTATGATTAAATGATTGGAAAGAAAATTATCAGAGATGCTAAAGATACTAACTCTAAAGTAACTTGATCTGTATATGGATTCAACAACTATTTTTATTTTTAGTGAATTAATTATTTATATATTTATTATTCATTATCTTTTTTCCCCACTCATTTTTGTTGAATAGGAGGAGGAACCTGATGAAGATGAAACCTTTGCTTTGGTATCATCTGTGAAGAAAGTGTCCATCTTTTATTCCTGCCACAACATGGGCCCATGCAATATTTGGGATTCACTGTACAAAAACATCAGCTATGCTATTGATGGCAGTAAATCTCTACCAGAGGAGGTATGACTTCATGAACTGATGATATTCTGTAATTAATTAGGGAGTTGGATTATTAGACAATGATTAAATGGCACTTATGAATGATTTACCTGCTATTTATATCAGCTGATTATTTTATACTATAATAGTGTAAAATAGTAGAACCTTTCTTATGGTTTAAAAGATAGTTTACAGGACAAATAATCAGATGCATCCTCAATAATACATTTTACTTTATTTTTATCAACAGGCAACAAAGTACTGCATTTCTTCATGCTTCTTTGGTGTTATGTGGGAACTGCACCAAATAGAAATGGACAAGCGGACTATTACACATGATGCCGTTGAAGCTCTACGTACTCGTCTGCACCTGTTCTTGGATGCATGCAAACACCTATTGGCTAATTCAAACAACCAAGTCTTCAGAGAGGAGGTATGGCAATATGTAGTTACTTAAGATTTGGTCTTCCTCACTTTCTGGTTTCTTGGCTTTAGGCTAGACATAATGTTCTGCAGTTTTTTTTATTTATTTATTTTTTTTATTTATTATTATTTTTTTTTAATTGCTCATTCATTTTTTGATTTAATGATAATTGCTCTTTTTTTATTTCTAGGCTTATGTGACATTGTGTGATCTTCTGATTGTGTTCAGCCGTCAGTTGTTGGCCAATGCACATCTGGCTCCTCTGGTGTATGTGCCAGACAGGGGCCTGCAGCATCTCCTCAACCACTTCATTCAAACCTACGTATTTATTGATGATGAGGATGGTTAGTCATTTAGATGTTTATGTATTTTAACTACTGTGAAATCTTGTTTTCATGTTTGTTATTTATTTAACATTGTGGAACGTTTTACATCCAAACACAACAGGTTACTAATTCTCTTTTTATATGCAGAAGAACAAGATGAACACGTCAAAATTGAAGAACTCCACAAAAGACGTAACTTCCTTGCCACTTTTTGCAAGTTAATTGTGTACAATGTTCTGCCAACAAAGGTTGCTGCAGATGTCTTCAAACATTATGTCAGAGTATGTATTTAGTAAAGTAGCCTTTTTTTTCTCTCTCTCTCTCTCTATATATACCTTTCTTAAAATAAATAAAGAGATACTGATTTTCTAAGATGTATAGCATTGGGAAGAGATGAAAGATAATTTTTGTACAGCTATATAATTCATTGTTTTTTGTTTTGTTTCTTATCCTGTTTAACAGTATTATGATGATTATGGCGATATCATCAAGGCCACCTTGGGCAAAGCCCGTGAGATTAATAAGGTGAACTCTGCCAGAACCATGGCATTGGCCCTTACAATGATCTTCCGAGAACTTCACAAAGATAATGTGAGAATCAACAGGCAAGGTGTAGACTTCATTAGTCTCAAGGTATGAATATTCCTTCTTTAGCCATTTCTTATATATTATTATATTTCTTTGAATTACATGAAATTGAAGAGAAATTGCTTCTTGATGATAGAAATATTTGAAGGTCATGGCTAAGTTTCAATATTTCTTTTCCCAAGGAACTGGCCAAACGATTTGCATTGTCCTTCGGTCTTGATGCTGTGAAAAATCGTGAGGCAATTACTGCGCTTCACCGGGAAGGCATTCTGTTTGCTGTTAACCCGCTTGAAAACCCTGCTGATCCTACAGGACCTCCTCCCAACCTTGCTTTCTTGGAGATATTAACTGAATTCACAAATAAGCTCTTGAAACAGGACAAGAGAGTTGTGTAAGTAATTCCTTTGTTCAATTATTCAAACTTCAGGAAGGAAATGTATCCTTAACCCATTGGATCCAGGTGAAATGACCTCATGTCATTAAAAAATTGTGTGAAGGCTGAGTGACATCAATGTGCCGTCATAAAAAAATTGGCTGAGGGCCAGGGTAACAGGAATGACTCCGCAGATAAAAGGATATTAACCCAATGGTGATGGGTGAAGAAAAAAAAAAAAAAAAAAAAAAAAAAAAAAACAACTACGCTCTAGCGAACAATGGCTGTGCACTGACTTTGACCGCAGGAGTTCAGTACATCAGGCCCAATCACCAGCTCGCCGCAGAGGTGTACAGCTGCATGCCTATCGGTGTCACCCATCATGAAGGGGTTAACAATTCAAAGAGGAAGCACCACTCAAATAAGCTTATTGCTTGAATTTTGGTCCCCGTGCTGGCCATAAAGCACCCAGATCCAGTGGGTTATAGAAAAAAGGGAAAAACAGGAAGGAGATCATAGGTGTTTCTTATAAAAGAAATGTATGCATAAGTGATATGAAGTATTGCACCAAATCTAAAATAACTTTGTACTGCAGGCTTGCATACCTTGATCGTCGCATAGCTGCTGGTATGCCAAGCTCAAGAGGGGAGGACTGGCAGCCATTACTTATGTATCGCAATTCACTGGTGCACGGAGAGGGTGATCAGCCACCTCAGACCTCTAAGCGTGCCTACACCCGCAAGCGCAAACATGGTAAGTAATTGCATCAAGAGTTTCTTAAGTTTGAATTTCAACAAGAATTATCATATTTGATTAGGATGTTATTGATTTTGTTGTATTATTTTTCGAGCTGAATTATGACATTATTGTGTTTTTTTAACAGTTGATGATGATGACGATGACGATGAAGATGATGATGCTGGATTCCAGTGAGTATACAAAAGCCTTTTTTTATGGAATATCCTTTGCACTTACTTTTTTTGATAGTGGCTTAAAATCCATATGTAATTTATCATCTGAATTTATTTAGATAAACAAGACACTTCCATGCACTATTACTAACAAGTTTCAGTAAAAGTAGACTTGAAATTAGCAGTATTACTCATGTTATACATTAGTTTATTTTCATGTAGAGGTATTAACTAAAGGAGTGTTGAACCAGAGGCAAAACATCACAGTCAGGTAGAATCAGAATAAGTAATAAATCAGTTTAAGTTAAGGAACCTCCAAGACTTCTTAATTTCTCCAACGCTACATCCCCTCCCACCCCATCCCTTCTTACAAAAGGCCACCCATCGAGGAACCTCGTGAGACGGGACGCCCCAAGAGACGAAGAAGGCTGGAACAGACACACCCAGATATCATTGGTCGTACCATCCGTCACAAATGGTACATCGACGGAGAAGGGGTGTACTGTACTGGTACAGTTCTGGGTATTTCTGCCCCAGGGACAATCCCTGAAGAGTCAGATGACGGCCAGTTCATCAATGGCACATGTTATGACATTCAGTATGATGATGAGGACTTTGTGAGGCACTTGATTCTTGAGGGAGACTGGCAGAGAGGAGACATTGCTGTTTTGGGTCGTGCGGATAATGTGCCATAAACCGTTTTCAGTGTATGTTTTATAGCTATTTTAATATTCTGGATTAGCTGTACAAGTTTTCTGAAGATCTTCCTTGGTCTGTCATTTACTTTGTATGTTTCTATTTAGAAGTTAAATTTCCAGAATAAAATAATTTTCAAGAGTGAATGTGTGTGTGTGTGTGTGTATATGGTGTGTTTGTAATTGTATCATTAATTCACCCAGTAGAAGTCATGTTTTGGGACCTGTGTAAGTGACTTTTAAAATATTTAGAGATATATGTAGTCTATTTTTACAGAGCTATTCAGAAAGGGTTATTTGATCTCGGAAAAAGTTTGTATTTTGTACTAGATTTCTGACAAAGAAGGAAGGATCCTGATATTTAGAATCCAGAGAGAATCCTATTAAATTTTAGTTTTATTTATACTTTGTTCAGTATTTGTAAGTAATGTATTGCTGAAATTTTGAAAGTTTCAAGCAGTGGACAAATTTTATTAATAAATTTTTCTAAGGAAATTGGTCTTTCAAAGCCTAAAATACTTTAAGGTCAACATTTCTTTGATGCAATAAGAAATGTTTTGAAAACTTTAGAAATAAATTCAGTGTTTATAATGGTTTATAAGTATATTACATTTCCTGGTATATAGTGCTCTCCTTATGTGTTGCCATTTCCTTTTTATGTAAATGTAAAGGAAAAAAAGTTCAGGCATTCTTGAAGGTTCTTTGATCCTTAACATTACTGTTACATGATTATTTTTCAAAACTTTCATTACTTAAAGCTAATTGTACCTTTTATTATACCTGTAATGCTGTTATCACTATTTAGATAGATAAGAACAATAGATTAATTTTGATGCAAACTAACTGTTATAGTCTTAAAACCAAATGTAGACTTTCTTCACAAGCAATTGGCAACATCACATTTAACCCATTCGTGCTGGGTGTCACGTATACATGACATGCCCACTGTGAGTTTACTTGTTTAATTGTTTTTACACATAGATTGCTACACTTGTACTTGTACTGCCTGTCTCACCCGTTTACCCTTTTCTTTAATTTACGAAGATATTTTACGTTATCTTATTTTGCGGTTACTAATGTTTATAACATTATAATAATTATAATGTTTATAATAAAAATAACCATCGATATTCATAGCACTAGTAAAAAATACATTTTCCCGCCAAAGGAAATCAGGTAAGCCAGAGCCATCTATGTGTAGAGACATTTCACAAAAAGTATAAAGAATGAGTACAGCATTTTCACCATTTTTTGTTAATTTTTACCCGTCGCGAATGGGTTAATTCTTGACTAACCATACCATCATCATGATATAAATTAGCATTTATAGTTTCTAATGTCATCCTTGAATAGTAGGGGTTGTTACAGATGCCCTAAGTTATTGATGAGGATTCCTTTCAATTTGGTATTGGCAAGTGGTACATTTTAGAATAGGAATTGATTGAGATTAACCATTATGCTATGCACTGAAACAGCAGCTGCTTAACCTGATAACGCGGGGGATAGCTTATTTTTATACACCATGCCCACAATGATTTTAGTTTATTAGTTGTCTTAACCCCAAAGATGGCTTCACAAGTACTATGTTACAACTGAGTCAATTACTAGTACTGCCTATCTCACCTGTTTACCTTCATCAGAGGATATATTTATGTGTTTCTGACAAAGATATATTCGAAACCCATTAAATACATTTCTTACATTGTTATCTACATTTGTTAACATAAATTTGGTTTTACTGTCAGTAACATAATAGTTATGATGTCTATAAGAGCAGCAATATTGAAGGGGGAAAAAATCCCAAAAACTCAAAGAAAAGTTAAATCAGGTGAAGTCAAAGGTCTTCTAATTGGCTGACCACTTGTGGAGCCAGTACCCCTCCAATCCTAGGCCCATTGTTACTGAGTTACATCCAAATCCCATGCTATAGCATTATCAACCCTAACTGACTTCACTGGCAAACCCATTCCTGCCCATCCCCATCCCTCCCTCATTACTTGCACCAGAATTGTCTCCATCTCCCCAATAAACTGCCCTGTCTATGACATGGATTGGTCAGATTATAGAGAAGATTTACTCACCTGCCTCATGGACTGTGATGCAGTATCAGTACAATGCTACACCATCACCCCTAAGGGCTATCATAGGTGCCCCACCAATATTGCCAAAATTACTTTCCATAGACATGAACTCCCCTTTAATGCTTTGCACTGGCATGCATGTGTGCCATTTTTGGCAATTTTAATGTATTTTATAGGGACTCCCTACCTGAAGTGGCAAATCTCAGGTTTCTCTCTCATTCCCTACTCCAACAATAGCTCTTCCCACTCCAATTTCTCCTAAGATGTGTCTAGATCTCCCCCAACATCTCTTCCTCATCCCACTTCTACCCCTTCCTCTCCTAGTCAAATACTTTTGCCATTCCAAATTCAGACATCCCAATCTCCACCACTATTCCAGAGACTCCAATCACTACTTCCCTAGTACCAACCCCTCTTCTTCCTCGCCCGACTTCTTGCACAAGACAAGCTGAACACCACAACCTCTCCATCAGCCTCTCCCCCTACCCCTCAAACATCTGCATCCTGTTCTATCCCCCATTAGAAAGCCTTTGTTTCTCAGACCCCCCCAACTGACTATGCTACAGAAATTGTTAAAGATATTCAAAACTATCTAATCATGACTTACACTTCCTCCATCCTCCAGTCTTTCTACTCCCTGTCCTCCTACACTCAAAGTAACTGCTAACATCCATCCTCCTCCTCCTCCTCATGTTTCCCCTATACCCCTTCCTCCCACTCTCTCCCAACACATCCCATACCCCCCTGCTTCAGCTGCATTATCCCCTCTTCCTTCCCTAGTATCCCTCCTGCTTCTCCCTGGATGTGACCCTTTGTCATAGCAGCAGCCTTCCCTTGATTCTCTCCCTCTTGACATTCTCCCAGAAACTGTGCTCTGATTGCCCTTGAACCCCTCTCTCCTTTGCTAATCCCTACCTTACCCTACAGACATTCTTGCAATATCCCACACATCTTCCTTCCTTCCTCTAATAATCCTTACCTTCCTGAACTGCTATATGACTTCTGACATCTAGCACACTTAATCATCCATTACCCCCCTCCCCCTCTTTACCCATTTGCTATATGTCCTTTGATATCTAGCACATATATTTTGCTTTGTAACCATTAACCATTGTGCAGCCATTTATGTGTAGAGGCATTTCACAAAAGACACTACCTTGAACATATTTTGCCAGCGAAAGGCGGTTAAATTATTCTAAGCAAGCAAAATAACCTGATTCATACAACATTCTAGTGGATAAGTTTGGTAATTGTCAGTCATAGCTTTTAACCCAAAGTCTCTAGGAAAATGTGTTCACTGTAGTATTGTTTTGTGAAATATCTCAGCACTTAGGTGGCTCTGCAAGTGCTTAGCGATGAAGGATTTTTTTTTTTTTATTATTATTAGTCTATCAGTATTAATGCTGTTATTTTTATAATAGACATAATTATTATTATACTGTTATTGACATTACTAACAGCAATATTAGATACCAGAAAATATTTTTGAAAATCAAGGAAAAGGATAAATAGGTGAGACAGGCAGTACTTGTAACTGACTCATTAGTGAGTTTATACTTTTAGAGCTATCTATGTGTAAAAACAATTAATAAGTAAAACTCACAGTGGGCTTGGCATGTAAATAAATGCTATCCCCAGTGGCTCTAGTTTAATGTAAGAGGAGCATCTGGTTTTAGTTTAGTGGGCTCTCACAGTACAAAACACTAGTCTACATAATGGCAAGTTATTTCGCAGTAGTCAGATAATGCAACTATTCAACACATAAACATTGTAACTATATTTAGAGTGAAGAAGTGCATTGATAGATTGACAGAGCAAGGATTAATTATTTATAAAAGGTAATTAAGAACAAGCGACATTGCAATACACAAGAACTAATAATTGTAACACTTTTAATAACTTTATAAGAGTATTATTGGACGCTAACTAGACAAAGAAAAAATATGAGTGATATAATAGATCATGAACAGTGTGAAAAAAGAAAAACAAAGAAAGGAGACTGGTACATTATGACTAAGAAAAAGGATTTATTAGAATTACCCCCCCCCCCCCCCCCCCCCATTGTCTCTCTCTCTTTTCTCTTCTCTTCTCTTCTCTTCTCTCTCTCGCTCATTCTTGCACAGGGACATAAGCGCATAGAGCAGCTGTACAGTACAGACCCCATAGAATAGCAGCTCTACCTGTAAATGCCAATAACCTCTGTGCCATGTTACCTTACAATATCCATTTTCCTTTTCTCAAACCACTCTTCAGAATATAGAGCCTAAATGTTATTTATATATACCCTCTCAAACATCCAAGCAAGAGGTGTTAACCCCCCCCCCCCCTCTCTCTCTCTCTCTCTCTCTCTCTCTCTCTCTCTCTCTCTCTCTCTCTCTCTCTCTCTCTCTCTCTCTCTCTCTCTCTCTCTCTCTCTCTCTCTCTTTCTCTTTCTCTTTCTCTCTTTCTCTCTTTCTCTCTCCCCCCTTCCTCCCTGAAAAATCCCCAAACCTTCAACATTGTTGAGGACATGGTACTTTCAGGTGTGCTATCTCCAAATCACTCACATATTTTGCACCACCAGGTCAAAAGCTGCTGCAATGCTGGTACTCACATGAGCAGCCAATGTACCAAGAAGATTTTGCAGGGTGATCATCTCCTTAGAAAAGGTGTAAGTTGCAGAATTGAACATTTATACATTATGCACAAGAAAAAATAAATTACTGAAGAAATAAGTTCTCGCCTCCTTAATGATATGGCAGAATTCCCACAACTTAGGAGGCATCAAAGCAGATGCTGAAGCTGACAACAAGGCTGGATGCCTCCAGCTTTATTTTCAGTTTCAGCACCAGCTTCAATGCTAGCTTCAGTGTCTGCTTCAGTACTTTCAATGCTAGTTTTAGCACCAACCTTAGTGCAAGCTATAGCACATGCCTCAACATTGGCATCAATATCAACACCTATTCATCATCAGCAGTTCAAGCCTCTGCACCTACCTCAATGTCAGCTCCAAAAACAACTCCACATGAAAGTAAGGACCTGCTGCAAGTGTTGCTGCAGAAGATAAACAGTACATAATGCAGAACACTGCACAGTAGCTGCAATTCGATGAAGAAATATATGCACTTTTCTTTGGACAAGAGTAGTTTATCTCGCTGCAGCCTGTAGTAGATCTTGAAAATTATTAGCTGGCAGCTGATGCCCCTCAGTGACTTTAGGTGTATTGCACTATTCATTTTTGCATTATTTATAAGTAAAGTGTATTTTTTTCATTGACTAGATAAAGGAACAAATAAGGTGAGTTCTACAGCCCTTTAAGCATGTATTTAATGTTTGCCTGTGGCCCATAAGTCAGCAGAAGTTCAGCCAGATTGGGTAGATATTTGGGCATCTTTCCTCAGCTTTTTGTGGGGCATGTACACTGATCTGTAAATA